ATACATACGGTAGGTTAAATAGTGGTCGCCCAAAGATATCCATGTCCTAATCCCCATAACCTATGAATTTTACCATATATGACAAAGGGGACTTTGCAGACATGATTAAATGAAGGATTTTGAGATAGGGAGAATATTGTGGATTATCTAGGTGGGTCCTGTATGTAATCACAAGTGTCCCTATAAGAAGAATGCAAAGGAAGATTTGGCTGCAGAGAGAAAGTTATATGATGAGGTAGAGATTGGAGTGATATACTTTGATGATGGAAAGAAAGGGCCACAAGCCAAGAAATACTGATGGTTACCTGAAGCTGAAAAGGGCAGGGAAGCAAATTCTGCCCCAGAGCCTCAGAAGAAACCCTGCCAACAGTTGATTTTAACCCACCTCGATTTTAATCCAGTTTGGACATCTGCCCTCCCGAACTGTATGAACATAAATCTGTATTGTTTAAGCCACTAAATTTGTAATTCAGAAACAAAAGTCTAGGTCAGGTGGACCAGCAACTTCACACACTATTATAATGAGTTATTTATCTTTAAACCACACAGAACACAGGATGGTGGAGGATAAGTATTTTACCCCTTCTCCATTAAAAAATATCCTATTAAGCCATAAGTCATGTTTTGCTTAGGCTGGTTTCCATGCATTCGCTCATATCGAGAATGGCCTCAAGAGCCATTCTCATCATTGCTATTTTAGGTTCTATAGTGAAACAAATAAATGAAATCTTCTTAAATATATATGTTGGATGAAAGTGAGGTTTTCTGTGCCCCATGGGCTTTAGTAATTGGAAAAAGCAAAGATTTCTAATCTCATAAAGATAGGAGGTATCAATCTCAGATTTGTAGGCTGTATAGTCTCAGGACATCAAAGTGTCTTTTCTACTGGCCTACTATTCTACTGGAAATATATACTGTCCATTGGGGATTATAGCTCCGTTTTTCCAGTGTCCCCGCCCATACAAAGAAAATAATATAAAATACCATTGTTAGTCATTACCCCCAAATCACAAATCAGTTTAGCAATAGGCACACATTTGCCCAGACCTCTTATGAATTATGATGAAATCCAAACAATGGGAGTTTACATTAAAAAGAGTTAACTGGAAGAAAGGCAAAGAGGATCCAATATACAACTATTAGGAAACCCTGAAGAAGAAAGCAAAGGAACAGAAGAATCTAAAGAAAAAGAGAACAAAGAAAATACCAAAAACTGTAATTCAATAAAGTTTTCCTAATATAATAAAGTTATTTGAACTATATGTTGAAAAAACATACCATGTACCTGAGAATATTGACCCAGAATGACCAAAACCAAGACATATTCCAGGAAAAAAGTATTGTATTTTAAAGAAAAGGGGAAAAATTAGATATTTAAGCAAAAGGAGCATATAACTTACAAGGGAAATCAAATTAAATTATCCTCAGATTTTTTTTTTTGACAGCAAAGCTTTTTGCTAGAAGAAATTAGAGTAATGTATTTAAGATATTCAAGGAGAGAAAATGTGAACTAAGGATTTTTTATCCAGGAAATCACAAACTGCTAATAACATGTAAAGACTCAGAGAATATTGTTCCCATGAGCCCTTCCTAAGGAGTCTGCTAAAGAACAAGTTTCAGTCAGGTACTGCTGGTGAATATCAGATATATAGTTGTTTGTAGATAAAAAACTAAATGAGGGTTGAAAGGTAGAGAGTCTAGTATATGATTCAAAGTGCAAATATACTACAACTATAAAAAAATGGGGAGATGATTAGCACATGCAAAAAACATTTTATCTGTTTACACTAACAATAATGTCAGTAATAGTACAAGTATTATTATCCTGAGGATGTTGTATATATAAAGTAGAAAAATACAAATGCTAATTATGGGATATTCTAATTCTACCATCCCCCATGCCTTAAAGGATTTTCTAGTGAAAGAAAGGAACTATCTAGGTAATAGATGATGTTAAATAAACACTGTAGATATGAATCTGAGTTAGAAATATCAGTATATTCTATTTATCTATTCCAGCTCTTTTCATTAAAGGATTTTAAAACAAAAGTCAACCCTATAGCAGTGCTCATCTCTGGTATTTAGATTTGATCTTCAAATGACATAACCCATTGAACTAAACCAAGATTTCTTGGAGAAATAGCTAATTCTAGGTTTAAGGCAGGAAATGTTTATGATGAGTTTGGAACATCTTGACATGCAGTTAGAAGGAAGCTGTCAAAAACTACTAGGGTCATGTCAGAAGATCTCAGGAAGCACCTTGAAGAGTTTTCCACTGGCCAAAGATTTGAGCCTTACAATCGATTGAAACTAATCAAATATAAATGTATATGAATTCAAGAGATTATGACATATATTCTAAAAATAGTAACTGGTCACCTTCTGAGGAAACAATGATCCAATTGTCATCTTGAAAACTGGGTAAATAAAAGGAAATCAAACCTTATCCTAGCTAACATATATGAATTGTAGTACTGTGTTACAAAGTAGGAGATGAGGGGACATGTCTCTTTATAAAAAGCATCCCAGGTGATAATTAAAGGGACATACAAAATTAAAATATTCCTACTTTTCAACTTCCAATGAATTAATGGATGTAGACATTGAATGTCTGTCTGCTAGAACTAATATTAAAGAACAACATAAACCAGACACAAAATATAATACTACCTTAACCTTGTTAAAGGCATCAGACCTGTGTCAGGTCAAGCCTCTAGATTCAGTTCCCAATTTTCAGGAAATACAGAAGACAGAGAAACACATTGAACTGTTCCATGAATGAGCAGTCAGCAAATCTGACTGTAGAAAACTTGACAAGCTAAATGACCCAAATTTGTTATCAGATAAACTATAAGGAAAAGAAAGAGGTGGAGGGAGGAAACCATAAATTAAAAGAGACCTAAAAAACATATTAAGTTAAAAAAAACATGGGAAAAACTAAACTATCAGGTTTAGGGATGCTCAGTTGAGTGATAAAGCCATAAATAAATGCAAAGAAGTGATTATTATAAAAGTCACAGTGCAGATTACTTCTGGAGGTGGAAAAGGATTGTGTTAGGATGAAGCATGTGGAGGGGTTATAATAGGAGTGGGTGGCTGGCAATTCTATTTCTTGATTTTGATGGTAGTTATGAGTGTTCACTGTATAATAATTCACTAAGCCACACATTTGTTTGGTTTGGTTTTCTGTGTCTGTGTTTAATTTTATAATAAAAATATTTTTTTAAAAAAAGAATTAACTGTAGTGGTTATTTGTATTCCTTCTCTCTGGGTTAAATATTTGGCCATGATAAATTAAGAAGCTCTCCCCAAAGCAAGGGCTCCTTTGATTTCTGAAGGAAATAGGACATAATAACTAGTGTCCAGCTATGATCATTGAATTAAGCACTTAGGAGAGCTCATTAAGCTCTTGTTGCAAGAAATCAGTGAATCAGTGAGTCAACAAATAATGCAAACAACTTCACACTCAAAGTTCCTCTGCAGACTTCTACTAGATGGCTCTCCCTGGCTAGAAAAATCCTCAGCAGCTCTTTATTACCTGTAGGAAATGCTTATGCTCCCCAGCTTCACATTCCAGCCTCTTTTCCAGAAACCAGTCTTAACCAACCTTTCCAATCTTAGCACAGCTAGTTTCTCAAATGCTATACTCCCGCCAAACAGGTCTACTTTTAGAATTCCATCTCCTATCTTTTCTCATTTCCCCTGCCCCCATGCCTTCTCTGGTAGCTTTTCCCTTTCCTTCTACTGACTTAAACTCTACTCATCATTTAAGGCCTGGCTCTATTCTCATATCTTCTCTAATAACAGTCCTCGTTACTCTTTCCCCACTGTGCTTCCTCTTTCTTTCAAACCTCAACGTCTGTTCTCACTCTTGGACACTTAGCCCTTTCTTGCACTGGTATTATTGTGAGAGGATGTTTTATCTTTTCAATTTGTTTTGAACCTGCAAATACACTCTATATTTTCTGGAACTATAACTGACACTTTTTAAAATTATTACACAAAACCTGCCACCACATTTTGTGCATCTCCATCAGTATATGTCAATTAACTGTTAAAGTGGGTGGGCAGAGAAGGAATGGGTGGATAGGCAAAAGAACAGATCAAATTATCATATATAATTTGAGAGGATTCAGTGGGTACTGACAGACACAAGACACATAGATTTATATACTCAATAGGAGTAGAATTATGGGGATCTATGTGACTGCAAAGGGCCTCTGGTCAACTACAGGCAGTTATAGATGTTGAGTACTTGGAGGCTGAGATGCTAAAATGTTAAAAGGAAACACTGAGTATATGGAAGAAACTAATAATAAACTTTCTTTCACTCACGGCTTTTTCCACATCTAGACCTACCTGGGGCAGGTCATGCACCTCAATACTGAAACCTGAATCAAAAATTTTAAGAGTCCCACTCTACACACTCTACAAAATTGCTTATGGGAAGTTTGGGGATGAACAGGACTATGAATTGAGTTTGATGAGAGCTCCTTGTGGCCTAAAATCTAGGTATGAATGATTACATGAAAATTTAGAGTCCCAATCCTTCATTTATGAGGTTGACTTCTGCATAAAGATGAAAGGTCAGGTCCCTGAAATGTGTCAACTGACCCAGGGGACTCTGAGCTGAAAGAAATCCTTGTCCTAGTCAGAACACCAGGTCAGCCGAGTAGCATAATATCTGGGGCCTGCTCCTTCTGCTTCCCTTCCTCCAGCTAACCACAGGCTTATCCTCCTTTTGAAGGAAAGGCTCCTGGGAGAAATCTGCAGACAGATTGGAAGGGATAAATGAATTGGAGTCTGTGAGCTAAGACATAAGCAAATATAAATAAACAGAATTAGAGGTGGAAAGAATGGAAACCTCCAGAGCCAACAAACTTCTTTCCCCTCATGCTTTGGCATTTTCCCTTCAAGAAAACCAGGAAAGAAGAGAAAGAGTTCCACCATGGATTGGATGCTTCCTGTGTAATGAGAACTGTTCTAGCTGCTTTCAAACGTAATTTTATTTAATCCTCCCCCTCAACTTGTGTGTCATCATTGCACAGGGCCCATGCCAATCTCTGTATCATTCCAACATTGGTATATGTGCTGCTGAAGTGAGCACCCCCTCACTTGCAAAGAAAGAGTTACCTTCCATGTTTTACTGAAGATGCAAACCCAGATTTAAAGAGACTGAGAGACTTGGCCAAGGCCACACACTTAGAAAGTATAAAAACCAGGATTCAAACTAATGTTTATTTTCCTCCAGAGCCCTGTCCACTATACCTTTAGTGGAAACAGAATTATATCATGTTTTCACCATCATCTCCATTTCACAAATGAAGAAACTAAGGCAGCAAGGAGAAGCAACTTGCTCAGGTCACATGGTCAACTTCTAAGAGGTTCTCAGCTATAGCCCACACCTTCTGATTTCCAAATAGGAGCTCTCATTATTTGTATCCTCCAAGGTCCTACAATGCACATTCAAATGGGGGCATTAGTGAGGAGCTTAATGAAGGGTCTGTTAAATGCAAGGGCACATTTAAAAGAAGCCAACAAAGGATGGTGAAGATATCCAAGTGTAGAAGCTATAAAAGGAGCTATGAACACCCCTGTGCCTGAAGGGATGAGGCCAGCGTCCTGAACTCACTCTGAACTTTGGTAAAGAAAGTCACTGTCAGCCTTTAGCCTGGCAGGGAGAGAATCTAGGCCATAATACTTACCCTCTCTCTCTCTCTCTCTTCCAGCCTACCTATGTCCTACTAGTGCCTCCCATAAGCTGTACTCTACTGAATGCCAGAAGTTGAGGGGTTTTCAAGGCACCTTCCAAAGCTCAGAGCTGGACAAGAAAGGGAGAAGAATGGATTGGGAGAGGCAAATGAAGACTTCTGAGTGCACTACTACTTGAGGATACTTCTCTGAACCTCAGTCCTTGGGAAGAGTCCTGCCTCTGAAGGTCAAGGACAGCAAAAACAATAATAAGTCTCCCATAACACTCAATGTGGGGCCATGAAGGCATGACACAGGGAAATACAGTGCAGCTCACAGCACAGAGCTGAATTTGTCACTACCCACTGCATGAGTATTATCTTAGCCTGGTCAACATATCTGTGATACAAAGGGGAAAGAAACCTTGTTCCAATCCCCTTAGGATCAAAGGCATTGCTTTGGGACTTTTCTGCTTTGGTCCAAAGATCACTACTGGTGTTCAAGCAGAGTTGCTGGTATTTCAGTTGAGCTTTTGTGGGTATTTGAGAATTAAAAACAGAAGTCGGGGCAGGGCAGTGGGGAGGAAGGGGATGCATGTGTGCAAGAGTATGTTTGCTATTTACCAGTTCTTGGAAATCAGTGCCACTTTTCAAATAAAGACAATCCCTAAGTGAAGGTGGCTCAGGCATCTTGCTAAGGCACATCCCTCCTATCTATGCCCTCAGCATAGGCATCCTTGCTTCGGTCCTACATCTCTCCCCCAGGGCAGAGACGTCCCAATAGGCTTCTCCAGCCCACCTCAGCTTTCCATCCCTGTCTGAAGTTTCAACTTCAACTTCCACTGAGTCCCCATCCTTTCCCTGATTTGGTCATATTTCCTATTTAGTTTAAATCAACAGTCTGATTTTATCAACAATAATGCTTTATGGAGGTTTATTTCTTCAAACAGACTGTGCTCCTCTTTGCTATAAAGTTAATTTTATGTTCTTTGTTCACTTTCCTAATCTGCAAATTACATCCTCCTGTTCCCTGATTACTTAGTATTGGAAAAACAGCCCCTCTTTGCTTCCAGTTTGAATATTCTCTACCTTATCTTGATGACCCTAATCTTTCTCCCCTGACTGGCCTCTCAAGGCAGCTGTGAGTAACAGGCAGGGTGCAGCCTGGTGGCCAGCACAGACCCTGCGTGGCTGAGTGGGCCAGGGCTGCATGCCTTGCTCCTCTGCAGGCCTTTTTTCCCCCCCACAATCATTTTTTTCTCAAACAAAGTGTGGGAAGAGAGTCAGTTGCAGCAGGAAGGATTAGAAATTCTGGGATCTACTCCATGCTCTCAGAAAGTCCTAGTGGGAAGACGGAGAACTTCCGACACTCAGAGAAACAAGGACAAACGCTTCGGAGGCTGACACTGGGCTGATACCACATGAAAAATGACCTGACTCTTTTGTTGGAAGCGCCTGGAGGGGGAGGGGCTGCAAAAGGAAGAGAGATCACTGGGAATGGTGAAGGGAAAAATAGAATCAGTTCTTACATGATCTGGATTTTTAAAGAGGATGGGGAAGAAATGACCCTGATGTCAGAAACGTCAAAGAGAATTAGGCATGTTCCGCATAGAGGGAAGGGAGGAAGGGAAATGAGGAAGGAGGGCAAAACTGACAAAAAATTAAAAAGACAGAGTTGGAAGAAAACTTAGCAGTTTTATGCTTTATGGAGGAGAACACTGAGGTCCCAAGATCAGACCCTAAGTCCCAATAATAGCAATAGAGTCATAGCATTGATGATAATAATGACAAGGGATATTTGTTTACTGTCATTTACCATACCAATCCACCATCTTACTGTTGCTTACCATATGCCATGTTCATTTCAATTTCTGGGTCTCTATCTTCTCAAAACCGTAAAAGCTAGTACTGTTTGCATGTTGTGCACTGGACACTGTTTAAATGATTTACATGTCTTATTGCATTCAATCTTTCAAAAACAATTCCAGGAGGTAAATAGAGTTATCATCTCCCTTTCACAAGTGGGGAAACACACAGAGGTTGATAACTTGGTAAGGGTCATAGGTAGGACGATAGAGCAAAGAGTCAGCCAGATCTGTCTGCCTTCTGAGTCCACATTCAAAAAATATTTAGGGAATGACTATGTGACTCTTAAATTGGCATATTATTCACACAAACCTTATTCCTGCTTTAGTCTCAATGCTCTAGTTTTCTGGGGACATCACTGTCTGTCTAAAACCCCTCTAGGTTTCCCAATTTGGGGACGGAGTCTTTTTTTGATACCCTAGGCCAGGCCAGGCCAGGCCAGAGGTGGGGTAACTCTATAAAGAGCAACATAGAAAATATTTTAGGCTTTGCACACCACATATGGTCTCTGTCACTGTTTTCTTTGTCTCTCTGTGTTCTTTGTTTTCATTTTTGTCTTTTACAATCTTTCAAAAACATAAAAAATCATTCTTAGCCTGAGAGCTCCCTCTGACCTTATTCTGCACCCACAAACCTTACAGTCCTGCTTAAAATGTCTCTTTCCCACCACTTGTCCATCATAAAGATCTTTAGGTTTTGACTGCCTCTCAAAATACCCTCTAAATTTATTTCAGCTCCCCCAATCCTTAGTCCATTTTCTTACTATCTCGTGCATACTCTGGTCACCAAAATGGTCTCCCCTCCTCCCTAAAGCAGTATACCTATCACTGTTAGATCTATCCTCACAAGCAATCAGTCCCTTGCTAAAATATCTTCAAATCTAAGCCTGTTACTCTGCATTCAAGGACTGATTCTACACACACACACACACACACACACACACACACACACACACACACACACACAGGGTTTTCTGGTCTTTAACAATAATACAGACAGGAACAGTTAACATTTAGCAAAGATTATCACAAGCTAGCCACTCTGCCAGCTGCATGCATCATCTCATTTAGGTCTCAACAGAACCCTGTGAGACAGGTGTGATTATGAGCCCAATTTTACAGATGAGGCTCAGAGACACTAAAGAATATATGCTAGTTCACACAGTCAAATGATAAAACTAGGCACCAAATTATGGCTGTCAGACTCCGGGGGCTCTTCCCTTAACATCCATCCTTCACTGCCTTTAACATGTCTCCCCCTCTGCCCTCCCACGGCCAGTGCCACCAAGAAACACCCTCATAGGAACCCTTGATTCAAGAGACAGCAAGCAAGTCACCCACATGATACACATCTCAGCTCTTGCCCCGCGAAGGGAAGCAAAACTGCCCTGGAAGAGAGGCTGGTGCCTCTGAACTTAGAGCACCATAAATCGAGCAGGAATGACCCTCGGTACAGACAGCAGGTTCCATCTGATGTCCCCAGTAGCAGGCTGCCAGCCAACAAGTGGGCAGCTCAGAGCAGCTGCATTTCAAAGCAGCAGACCAGGGCAAGCTACCCATATGTGGACCGACCACTTCACAATTTGCCTAAAAGCCACACTGTGTTTCCTGGACAATGGCTGCAGGCCAAAACACACACATTCCAGTTTTTATGACTCTAAGGTAAGCATTCTTTTAATGGTTCCTTCCCTGTTCCCTCACCCTCACTCTAGTGTTTTGCTTCTTCCACCTCTTCGCTGCTCTGCTCTCTGCCTCCCTTGCTTCAAAGCTTCTTCGCCATTGTCTCCGTCCTTGCTCTTCAGCAGTGTCCCTATCCCGGTGGCTCTTCCCTCCTTTCAGGCCCTTGGTCAGGTTTTCTCTAATTACTAGACTTCCTCTCCTTCTGTTTTCCTGTTTGCCTGGCAGAGCGTCCTTCCCCTGCCTGTGCAGTTCCCGGCTTTAGCACAGACTTGAAAGCTCCACTCCAGCTTCCTTGTCTTCCCCTTTCCTCGCTTGGCCCATCCTCTCTCCTCCACTGCAGCTCCTCTACATGGCCCTTCCCTTATTTTCTGGAGACACCTGGTCCCTCGCGTCTCTCTTGCCCTTCCCTACCCCCTTCACCCTTCACCTCTGGTCTTTTTTCCCTTGTCTCCTGTCTTTCCTCAGCCCTCCCCCTCCCTCCTCTTGTGTCCCCTCCTCGTTTCCATCCCCCCCCCCACCCTTATCTTTGTTTTCCTTCCTTCTGGCCGCTGATAGAGTGGGAGTAGTTGCAGACTGCAGCCCTGATTTCACATTCAGACCCGGATGGAGCCAGCTAACATTGCCCAGAGAAAGGCAGTCTGAGTCCTTACATGCAGTCCCCCCCAAGCTCCCACTACAGATTGGAGCTGAGCTTTAAAGGTCCAGGGTAAAGAAAGCCATCCTGAATCTGAGAGGTACAGCTCGGCTAGCAGAATGGAGAAGGACTGATTTTTTCCCCAACCGATCTCATTTAAATCAAGGTCAAATACCAGTGCCTGGACATGTCGTTAGTAAGCGGCAGCCTTGGGGTAGAGCCACAGTGACCATTCCTA